TAAAAGGATTTCATGCTTATCACTAGTCCCTCTAGTGGCTTACTGTTCTCATTTATTATTTTCATTTATAATTTGTTTAGATGGATTTCATTACCCAATAGTTTGCTATGAGGGAACAGAGTTACCATGTTCCCTGAAATCTAACATGTTGGAAAATGTTGCCTTCTTCTTGAAAGACACCTTGCATGGTTATGAAATTCTTGAACAACTCTTCCCCTTGAAACTGTACATATTGATTCTCTGTACTCAGTGTTGACATCAGTTGTTTTTCCTTAACCCTCTTGTCTCCCTGTAGGTGTCTTTTTTTCCCTGTGAGAATAGTTAGAGAAGCATTTTTTTCATATATAATGTGTAAATAGCCAGATATGGTGGTACATGCCTCTAATCTTAGCTGCTTGAGCGGCAGATATGGAAGAATCACAATTCAAGACTACATTGGCAAAATTTGTTAGTAAGAGCCTATCTTAAAAAACAAGGCAGGCATGGTGGCATATACTTGTAATCCCAGCTATATGGGATGTTATAGGTAGGACAAGTAAGGTTTAAGACTGGCCATGGGCAAAATTCTGTCTGAAAAAATTGCTAAGGCAAAAATGTCTAGAGGTATAATTCAAGAGATACAGTCTTACCTAACAAGTACAAGACCATGAGCTCAAACCCCAGTTCTGCCAAATGAAAGACAAACAAACAAACAAAAGACCAAACTGGGAATAGTGAAACAAGCCTTTAATCCCAGCTAGTTAGAAGGCAGAGGTAGAAAGGCTGGCTTGAGCAATGGTGCAAAAACAACCTGAAAGTAAAGGCACTGGGTATGGTTCAAGTGGAAGAGCAGTTGCCTGAATCCTTGAGTTCAATCCTCAGTACCACTAACAAAATAAAAAAAAGTAATTATGTCATCAAGTGAGGACATTTTTTCTATTATATGTTTGAAAATATTCTTTGTCTCAGGTTTGCAATCTCAGAAAGGATATAATTTATGGAATGATCAATGGTGTCTCAAATCCAGGTCCATATTCCAGCTCTGAATACATCCATTTTTCTTTCCTTCTTTATACTCTTTTTGGTCAGTAAAGTTCTCCCACCCTCCTTACTAATTCAGTTTGAAGCTACATATGTTATATTCCTTTTTCCAATCTATTAGCTACTTCTATATTTTCCAGCTTCCTGATTAATTCTGTTATTTTGACTTTCTATTTGTTCTTTAAATACATGTCATCTTCCCTCTCAGGATGAAGGTTTCATCTGCATCCTGAATGCTTATTTTCCCTTTTTTTTCAGGTTCTCGTTTCTCCTAGAGTCAAGCATTAGTAGTATATTTTTTACACAGGAATGCACTGTTGCAATTTTTTATGTGTGTCTTGCAGCCGAGTTTTCATCCTGACATCTGTCTCCTACATGTTTCCCTTTTTTCCTCCCTTTCTACCTTCCTTCCCTCTTTCCTTCCTCTTTTCACCCTAGTATTTTTATATAGTTGCCATGTCACTTGTTTTCATTCTGTTTCCTTGTGATCTAGACATTTCTACGTAGATTTTCCATTTACTCTTATAATGGGATTGATTAATTTTCATCAATTCCTTCCTATCTTGCCTGAGGTTTCTTCAGCGCTTTAGCAGAAGACTGGGTGTTTTATGTTTCTTTGTTTTAGTGCTGCCTTGGTAGAGGGTGGAGAAATGAGGAAGTTCATCTTAAGCTGTTGGTAAAGTGTTTGTATAATTCATTTTGACTTCTTTCTTGTTTATAGTCTAAAATTTGAATTTATCATACCAAATTTGGGGCATATATAATGGGGTTTGGATGGCTTCACAAATTTAGGAAAGAATTGTAAAGATAGTTTGCCTAAGTATTTCTTTTTCAAAAATACTTGATCCAATCTTTTCCAGAATTCACTGGTCCTTCTATCAGGCAAAGACGGAAAAGATGACAAAATTGAATGACGCTGGCTACTAGAAGTGAGAAGTGGGAGGAGGGCTTCAGTGGAGGCTTTCCATCTGTCCCCTGCCCTTGGCTCTATCCAGAGGGGTTTGTTTTATTTGTTTTTCATCTTCCTTTCTGGTAAATTCCTACATGTTGTTCAAGGCAAGCAACTCTGATAAAAATACCACACTATCATTCTCCCTAGAAAAGTGAAATGGCAACATGGGCATTTTCCCCTTCTCTTTCATCTCTTCCAAGGGCTGGTGTGGTGGAATGAAGAACTTTCTTTAGAGAAACTTTCTCCACAGGCTGCTGACTCGCCGCTATGTCCACTTCCCTTTGAGTTATCACATTTTGTCAGAAGTGTTCCTTTCATATTTGCCTTCCAGAACTCATTCAGCGGTGGGATGGAAGCCACACAAGTATTCCTAATCATTTCTGTTTTTCTCTTGCTTTTTTTTTTTTTTTGGTCATGGGGCTTGAACTCTGGGCCTGAATGCTGTCCCTTGGCTCTTCAGCTCAAGGTGTGTGCTCTACCACTTGAGCCACTGTGCCACTTCTGGTTTTCTAGTGGTTTATTGGAGATAAGAGTCACACGGACTTTCCTGTTCAGGCTGGCTTTGAACCGAGATCCTCAGATCTCAGCCTCCTGAGTAGCTAGGATTACAGGTGTGAGTCTTCAGCGCCAGCTGCCTTGCCATTTTTTTTAAGAGTATTGCTTTTTCATGTATTCTTGCTTATATATTTTTGAAAAGCTTTAAGTACTTTCTTGTTAATTTGGTTGCACTCAAGAGGATGGTGGTTTTGCAGTCTACCAAATCTGGGATCACTCCTCAAGTACCTATTTTAATAAGGCCAGAAGTCCTAACTGGTTGATTTTTTTCCCACCTTCTTTCCTTCCCCAACCTAGTGGAGTTGAGGAGCAAAAGCTCCTGATATAGTGTCACTTGATGAACAGACATCAGATGGCTCAATCAATCATACAGAGTTGTCAGAGTCTGCTCCTCTCATATTCTTTGCTGAGTATGGTAGGGATATGGAAATATAGAGTGAAGCCAGAGGCAATTCAAGGTTTGCTATCTGTCATGTAGAAATATCAGCGAATAATAAATGCCAAGACAGAACCCAAGAACTGACAAGTCACTAAGAGGACATCTATTCTACTCAAATTATACCTAGAGAAAGATGGTTGATTTCCCATCTCTAACAGATGATCCTCTAGCTTCTTTATTTGAATAAATATCAAGAAACCTAGAAGTACCATTCTATTATTGAAAAACTCAGTGGATTTAAAGATTTCTTTTCTATGCATGTACGCCAGAATGGCATTCATGTCTGTTACTCTTACACTGGAGCTAAGCTTCCAATTTAGCTGGTTAATTGGAGATAGTCTTTCAAGCTTTCCTGCCTGGGCTGGCTTCGAACTATGATACTCAGATCTCAGCCTCCTAAGTAGCTAGGATTATAGGTATTAGTAATTGATGCCCAACAAAGATTATGTAACTGAATCCAGTTACATCTCTTCTTTTCTTTGCTTGGTCTCTCATGTGATGACCAATTGTCTCAATTTAGATGATCACTACAACTGTGCTTATAGTCCTGACCTCCAGCCCTGGAAAATGACCATGTAGGCCAGAAAGCTGCTAAACCAAAGGCAATAAGAGACAATAAATAGTAGATAAATGGAAATTATTTAAAAATATACATATATATAAATTGTTGCATGTAAATGGGAAGTAATCATTGTACATCATGAGGACACCTGAATTGACTAAAGAAAAAAACAACCATACAGATTTGGGGCACACGTGTGCAAGTGTGTGTGTGTGTGTGTGTGTGTGTGTGTGTGTGTGTGTACACGATGGGGTTTGAACTCAGGGCCTGGATACTGTCCTGTAGCTTTTTTACTCAAGGCTGGTACTCTACCACTTGAGCCACACTTCCACTTCCAGCGTTTTGCTTGTTACTATTGTTATTATTATTATTATAATTATTAATTTTGTCAGTTGTAGGAACTGGAGGCCTGAGTATTATCTCTGAACTTCTTCTGCTCAATACTAGTGCTGTACCATGTGAGCTACAGTATCACTTCCAGCCTTTTCTGAGTAGCTTATTGGAGGTGAGAGTCTTATGGATTTTCCTGCTCTGGCTGGCTTCAAACCACAATCCTCAGATCTCAGCCTCCTGAGTAACTAGGATTAAGACATGAGCCACCAGCACACAGCTGAAAAATTCCTGTTTCTATTCCTGGCTACAGGACTATGAAATCAGACTTCTAGGAAGGATCTGGAAGATAGAACTTTTGAATTTATTTGAGAAAAATAATTAGGCAAGACACTTCTTTTGTTTGTTTGTTTGTTTTTGCCGGTCATGGGGCCTGAACTCTGGGCCTGGGTATTGTCCCTCAGCTCTTCAGCTCAAGGCTAGCACCCTACTACTATAAACCACAGCGCCACTTCCAGCTTTTTTTTCTTTTTGCTTATGTGGTGCTGAGGAATCGAACCCAGGGCCTCATGCATACAAGGCAAGCACTCTACCACTGAGCCACCTTCCCAGCCCCGACACTTCTTAAGAAGCCTATAAAATAGGTTTTATTTTTCCTCCAAAATATTATAGCTAATCACCTCCCAGTTTCCTGAGCTCGACAGCTGACTCCAGCCATAGCATCTCCTGTATTTGGGAGTCTGAAGCAGGCAGCTCATGAGTTGGGCTACCTAGTGAGTTCAAGGGCAGTCTCAGCTATGTAGTAAGACTCTGTCTCAAAAAACAAGATGTGAAAAGATTCTGCTTGACACTGTGGGGGGAACTATTATGAGAAAGAATTTTGAACAGATAGATCTTGTAAATAAGGTCTGTAACTTTGAACAAGTTATTTAACCTTGTTGAGCCTTGAATTACCTACCTATAAAATTAGAAGGGCAAGTTCTGTTCACTTGGTCATTGTGAGGATAAAGTATGATGATAATTATAAAGCCCTTGACCTATAATGAAGTGCTTATAAGTGTTGAAGGTCTTCCTGGCTCTCTGAAACAGTACTGTTGTTTTTTCAAACATATCCTTTATAAGGAAGCACTTTTATTTTTCAGGCCCCCCTTCTGAAGTGTCCCCAGCTATTGAGGAAGAAGAATCAAAGAGTGGTTTGGACGTCATGCCCAATATTTCTGATGTGCTGCTACGCAAACTGCGGGTCCACAAGTCTCTCCCTGGAAGGTAAAATCTGAATGTAGGCTGCAACAGGTCCTGTGTTAGGTATTCTCTGGGCCAGATTCTAGGTGGAACACAGCAAACCAGTCTTGAATATTATCCCCAGAAAATCCAGTGGTCCAGGCTGGGGTAATATATCCAAAACAAAAAGATTAAGGAAGGGCCAGTCTGAGTGTTTCAAACCAAAGAGCAGGTTGGGTTCAGAAGCAGGTGCAATCCTTGAGATCATGAGGGTTACCAGGTATGCATGGTGGCAGACCGTCATGGGCACTTGGCCAGGAGATGTGGATTTCAGTTCAGAAACAGCATTTACGGGGCTTGGAAGGTAGCTCAGTGGTAGAGTGCTTGCCTTGCATGCATGCAGCCCTGGGTTCGATTCCTCAGCACCACATAAGCAAAAAGAAAAAAAAGCTGGAAGTGGCGCTGTGGCTCAAGTGGTAGAGCGCTAGCCTTGAGCTGAAGAGCTGAGGGACAGAGCCCAAGCCCAGAATTCAGGCCCCACGACCGGACCCCCCCCCAAAAAAAAGAAACAGCATTTACCCATAATGAGAGATTCTGGAACTAATAACTGTGTAGAAAGAAGTGTAGAATATTTGGAACCACATGAAGGCTTGCTTGGAAAACTTCTTTCACTCATGAGGAGAAAGTGCCTTTTCTTTTGGAGTTTCAGCTCCATTGCATGTACAATAGAGATCATGCGTATTCTGTCATTAGCGGTGGCGTGGTGCTGGCTAAATGAGATCAAGAGTAAGTAGAGATTTAAGATAGTATTAGCACATAGCAAACAGGCCCTTGGTAACTGTTAGGTTATAAAGTGACCATGATGGAGGTTTGAGATAGTGAAGTGTCCAGGAAGTCTGTGAAATAGGGTTCATACAGAGAATGACGTATTCTCTAATGAGATAATAATTAACCTGAGATACACAAATGACAAAATGAAGCATCTGTGCAAAAATTCTGAGACCTAGATTTCACCTGCAAAAGAGTGAAGTTACTAGCCTACCTCACATAACACACACAAATTAACTCAGACTTAAAAATGAAAGATTAACCCTAGAAAACTCTCAGAAGAAAACAGGAAACTTTATGGTCCTGAATTTTAGATATGGCACTAGAAATATAAGCAACAAGATTTTTTAAAATAATAGATGAATAGAAAAAAATAGATGAATAGTACTTCAAAATAACAAAGTCTGTGCTCCAAACATTACATCTCAAAAATGAAGGGCAGCCCACAGAATTGGAGGAAATATTTACAAATCATTTATCTGATATGGGACTTGTTGCTAGAAAATATAAGGAATTCTTATAACTCAGCACAAATAGCCAGTTTCTCAGGATGGGCAGAGAATTTAAATAGGCACTTGTTCAAAGATTTACAAGAGGTCACATGAAGACACCGTTCCTTTGGCAGCCCACAGCTCTGTCTCCCTGCTGCCCATAGCAGTTTCTAAGGCGCAGCTCTGTATTAGGAATCGGCTATGTCATGTTCCCTGAGTCTTCACAGTTTTCAACATTCAAAACAAAAGGAAAAAAAAAGTTTAGATGTGTTGTAAAACACTAGAATGTAAGTCATTGAAAAGGAAAAAAAATGTTTGGTTAATTATTTATGAAAATATGTAAATTCACGTAAGAGCCAAACAAACCCAGGAGTCAGGCACCTCCGTGTGCTCTGATAAATCATTTGGACAGTGTGTGTATGTTCTACATAACAGTGAATAGTACGCGGCCCTCAGAGTAAGGGCCTCTGGGTGGGGTTGTGACAGGAATGGTATGCATCAAACATCTTTGCAGTTGTTTATCCTGTGATGGCCACCGGGTCTTGCTGCTGCCTCATCCTGGCAGGAAGGCTCTCACTATCCCTCACGAAGGGTGAGAACCAGCCCCCTTGCAGAGATGGCTGACCCCTACCTTTGCTCTCAGGGTCTCTCTGCACCCGTCGAAGGGAGGAAGCTGTGTTTCCTGAGAAGCTTATTGATGGTGTGTTCTCTGGCCAAGTCCTATGACGCTGGTCGGACCCCTCCCGGCCTCTCCACCCAGCACAGGAAAGAGCCCGAGCCATATTTACATTATCTGGGCTTTAAATGGGGTCTGCTTTAGTTACTAGCAAAAGCCACAGTGGCAGCCATACAGAGTGGGGGTGCAGATAAGAAGGTGCTTACTGAGCACAGGCTGTGGGAACTGTACAAGAGCCTTCCAGAAAGTCACCTCTGCGCCAGCTGGGAGACTCTTGCGACTCTGATTTCAGTCATCAGTGGTTAACTAGGGAAAAGCCTCCAGACACTCTTTTCAACTCTGGCTCAAATAGACCTTTGCCACAACCCTCAGAGACATGGAAAAACCAGCTTTTACAGACCTAAAACAGCCCCAGAAACACTAGAATGTAATTCAGATGTGTATGTATTTGTTTGTTTGTTTGTTTATGTATGTCTGTTGTGGGGCTTGAACTCTGGGCCTGAATGCTGTCCCTCAGCTCTTTAGCTCAAGGCGAGCACTCTACCTCTTGAGCTACAGTGCCACTTCTGGTTTTCTTTTTTTGGGGGGGGAGGGGATCTGGTCATGGGGCCTGAACTCTGGGCCTGGGCGCTGTCCCTCAGCTCTTCAGCTCAAGGCTAGCACTCTACCACTTGAGCCACAGTGCCACTTCCGGCTTTTTTCTTATGTGGTGCTGAGGAATCGAACCCAGGGCCTCGAGCATGCAAGGCAAGTACTCTACCACTGAGCCACTTTCCCAGCCCACACTTCTGGTTTTCTAGTGGTTTACTGGAGATAAGAGTCTCACGGACTTTCCTGCCTGGGCTGGCTTTGAACCGTGATCCTCAGATTTCAGCCTCCTGAGTAGCTAGGATTACAGGCATGAGCCACCTGTGCCCTGCAGATGTACATGGTTTTTAAATGCACACAACTTTAAAAAATTGATTCCTACAGCAAGCCTTCTTTGAGTGAATAGTAATGAATGTCTACTAAAGCTGAATGTCATATAATGTCATCCCACAGTCCCTGTAGGGATTGGTTCCTGGACCCCAAGTCTTATCCTATGTACAGATGCCCAAATCCACAGAAGTCCTTTATATAACAGAGCATAGCACTTACATATGGCCTATGCACATCCTTGCATGCACTGGAGACCATCTCTACATGACCTGTAATACATGCTACAGTTGACATGGAATTCACAGAGGTACTGGGGACACTGCTCAAGAATGACCTTGCAGCTGCCACACTGCCTCTGTGAAAGTCACTGTCTCACAGAGGACAGGGTATCCAAAGGGAACTCTGCATCATTTCTATCTCACCAGCTTAGCCCACACCATTCCTGGAAACACATGGTCTGTTTGTCATTCAGAATCACGTTTGGTTTACCCAGGAGATTGGATAAAGTTCATTTGTGCATTCTTGTCTTTTTCACAGTGCCCCGCCACTCACTGAAAAGGAAGTTGAGGTAAGTCACTCCCTGCTGGATGAAATACAGCGTTTGTGCTTGACTGAGCTTATCCAGAATGTTCTTCTTCTAACTTCAGCCTAACATTCTGTCTCAAAAGCTAGAATGAAGGACTATGGGAAAATAGGTTTTTTCATACCCAGGCCTACTGAATACTGAGATTCCTACGCCTGCCCCAGTTAGTGGAGGATCTTGACGGATATTATTCAGAGGTGAGACAGAAGTTGGAAATAAGTCTTTTTTCAAGGGCTGCCCATATTCTTTCAATGTAGACTTAACTCCACAGTCAGCTGAGAGACTTCAGAATTGTACACATTTATTTACTTATTATTAGAAAGGTAGTTGAATTTCAACTTTAAACTTTGGTCTAGAGGAAGAAGGCACTCGTCTTTGGAGGGCTTCGGCTGCCAGAGGGCCAGCTAGGCTGACTGTAGCATTACCCCGTCACAGCATCCTCTGATTCGACCATGACTCCCTTTGGGTCTCCTTGTCCCAGTATGGGTGGTGAGTGAGCAAAGAAGCTTGTGATCCTTGCTGGTGAAGGGGTAGATTTACAAAATTCATACCAGAGGCAAGAGAGTGAGAAATGATGATCATTGAGGACCAGATAAGCAAAGACAGTCAAAGTGGAATGTCTACTACAGAGAGAAGCAATAACCTTGCACCAGACATTGAACTTCTAGCTTCAGTGGATCCTCCTAGCAGCTCTGAAAAGCAGCTGGAGCAGGAATTTAAACAGAGGAGAAAGCTAAGTGTAAAATAATTTACCCAACAGGCCAAATCCAGTTGTTAGGAACAGCAAGATTTAAACTCAGATGTTCTGTCTGAATTCAGGACTCCTTGCTTCATTCTGCCATCAAGGGGATAACCAGGCATAGAGTACTAAGCATGGCACATTGCTTATAGACTGAGGCTGAAGAAGACAGAGACCCTTCATCACTGGGCTGTGAGTGAAAAGCTCACTCTGACATTGTAGAGACAGGCCACAGGTAGTTCATTTAAGTTCACATGGATACTAATGTGATCTGCTGTCAGCATGGTGGAGGTAAAACAGGCTTTGGAATCAGACAGTGTGAGGTTAAGTCCTGGCTTTGCTCCTCCCTGTCACCTTAAATATGTTAAAGACTTCTTTGATCTCAATCTCTTTGCCCATAAAATCAGAGCAGTTTGCACTCACAGGGTTGCTATGGGATTAAATGAGGTAAAGCTCCTAAAATTCACAGTAGCTCTAGCATATAATAGATGACCAAGATGGGGTTGTTTTTAGTATTGCCATCATCATCATCACCCCCATCATCATCATCATCATCATCATCATCATGGCATCTCTGGAGATGGCTCATTATGGGCTGCATTCCATGACCTTCAGAAGCTCAGGCAGAGTCAGTGACTACAGAATATAAATCTGATACCACTTAGCTCAGATAGGGGAGAGGAAGGCTCCAAAGTTGAAGGCCCTTATTTCTCTTTTTCTTATTTCTTTCCTTCCTGTGTGGAGTCCATCTGTCTATTTCTCCTCCCCAGTAGTTTCCTATTATTCCAGGAATCACATGTCTGAACAATACTGCCTTTCAAAATTCATTCAGGAATGCTAGCAACATTCTAGGCATGGAATATTTATTCCTGAACGTTTATTCTAACTAGATCATATCTGTCTTACTTCATCTCCTGGCAGCTACTTAAGGCTGCTATTAATGTAGGATTTTTGAGTACTCAGACTAGATGCTGGTTGTAGTTTGCTTTAAAGCAACAAGGTTTAAATTTCAAATAGGATTTCTTTAAATACAGAGGTTTCATGCAAAAATCTCCATAATCCCCCATGTAATAAATCCAAACTGCTTATACACTCAGCTGCAATAGCTATGTTTATCTAAACCCAAACACAGGATCTCTTTTTTTTTGTAATTCAGGGAAAAGTAAAGTGCTCCTCTCCCCGCCTCTCCTCTTTTCTTCTCTTCCCATCCCTTCCTCTTCTCTCCCCTCCCCTTCCCTCCTCTCCGCTCCCTTCTCTTCCTCACCCCTCCCCTCATCCCTCCCCTCCTCTCATCCCCCCCCCCTCTCTTAGCAAAATACATTTCATTTTCTGGTGCTGGGGAGTACCTAGCCAAACCTCACATTACTGTTTCTCCACCTTTTGTGTGAGTTACTATGAGGTAAAGTTTTGTTTGCATATGGCTTCCTTGGGGACTGTTGTAATATGCTCAAGCGAGAAACCCACCTGCAGCTTTGTCCGTGCAGTATCACCTCCTAGCAACTCTCCCACATTCTTGTTCCCAACAGAACGTGTTTGTACAACTGTCCTTGGCCTTTAGAAATGACAGCTACACTCTGGAAGCTAGAATTAACCAGGCCGAAAGGGAACGCAACCTGACAGAGGAGAACACAGAGAAGGAACTGGAAAACTTCAAAGCTTCCATTACGGTAATCGTGGAGCCTGATGCAAGGAACCCATGGAGTACTGTCTGCAAAGGATATGACACGTGTTACTCTCCACCAAGTAGAGTCTCTTGAAATGAGAACAGGGGTAGATCCTAACAGAGTTTGCTTCAGCATTCTGGAAGGACCTGGAAAGACCAGCTGTCTCAGAGCTGAGGGCTAGGTCTCTGAGTTTGGGGAGCTTCTCAGGAGGGAGCTAGATACAGAGTGTCCAATCCTTAGAAGGCATTGTAGCCTGGGCCCTTCCTCTTCTTCCAGCTAGGATCTTCCCCAGACAGTTGGATTTGTGAGGCCTGAGTCTCCTCTACCTTCTATCTTTATACCTTTCTTTCTCTGATCTCCTGCAATTCTTTCCCAGTGATCCATTGCAGAAACCCCAGCTTCAAACCATTTTAAAAAAACCCACTTATTCCTTCATATTTTAATGCACAAATTTCTTTCTAGTTACTCCACCACCAGGTCTGGTCTTAGGAGAGCCACATTCAGGCTTGGTAGTTAGTTGTCTTTGCTTGAGATGCTATATGTCCTCACCTGGCTGGCCTGAACAAACATTTGTTTTTCATGGTTCTGGAAGCTGAAAATCCAAGCTCTAGCATGGTCAGGTTCTGATGAGATCCCTTCAGGGCTCGCAGGCTTCTGAATTTTCATTCTATTCTGACATGGCAGAAAAAGGGTAAGAACTCTAATCCCATTAAAAAGGGCTTTGCCCTTGTGACTTAATCCTGCCTCAGAGACCCCTTTTCCTAATACCCTCACATGGGGAAAAGTTAGGATCGCAGTCTCTGCTTTGGGGGACACAGACAGTGGGTCTGTAGCACGATGCAAGAGCCCTAGGTAATGTTCCTTGTCACTCCACAGTCCTCAGCGTCGCTATGGCATCACTGTGAGCACCGGGAGACCTATCAGAAGCTGCTGGAAGACATCGCAGTCCTGCACCGCCTGGCTGCCCGCCTCTCCAGCCGAGCTGAGGTTGTAGGAGCCGTCCGCCAGGTGAGCTGTGATAGCACCCAGCCTCGGCCAACTGGCTCTGCTCCACTATAGTAACTAGCTTGGTGACAACGGCGGGGACAATAAGAGATTCCACCTAAGGAAGACTGGATCAAGGCTAGGATTCCAATTTAGGTTATCGAACCCTCTGTGGAGGTATATCTCGGAAGAATTGTGTACTGCTATGGTCTTTTCTTGGAGATTTCTAAACATATTATTTTTGAGAATCCTTTGTACTTTTGAGAATCCCATGTATTTAAACTGAAGAAACTTCCTCCTCACAGAATTTGCTTACAAAACACCTGTTTAACTCACACGGAACTAGTCATGGGCAAAATGTGCGTGGGGAAACACATTTTTTGTTTCATTTAATCCTCTAGTAACCCTGTCAGGTAGCCATCTTTTCCTAGATGAAGCTGCAGAGTCTAAGAAACATGTAAGTTGAATCACCCTGTTCTGCAAACAGAAAATGTTCCAATACTTTTAAGCACCTAAATGATAGCGTAAGTGGAAAGTTGTACAACTCACAATCAAACACAGATGCACCAAAATATGTATAAAGCTACCTTCAGGCTGCATATGAAATGTATATAGAGAATGCAAATGAATTTCACATTGAAGATTAGGATTCTTCCTCCAAGATATTAAATTTTACATATTCAAGTATTCTAAAACCTAAAAAAATTATGCAAAATACAAAACACTTCTGGTACCAGCCATTTCAGGTAAGAGATATTGTATCTGTAATAGCACCTGATGGCAAAGCTGGGGTTCAGGGCCAAACTCAGCTCCCTCTTGGCCACATTAAGCATCCAGAGCTCCAGTATGGTGGCAATGGGCAATGCTGCCTGAATTCCCACCCCACTTCTGCCCTTCCTTTACTGTGTGACCTTGGGCTCCTTAGAGAACTTCCCTTTGGCATCCACTTTAGCATCTGGGCTAAAAGGATGATTATGGTATCTGCCATATATGATTGCTGTGATTCCTGTAAAGCATGTGGATGTTATTTTAGCTGTTGCTATTATCAGAGACCTGTGTCCTGCTCTGCTGCTTGTGTGAGAGGATGATCTCTGGTACACCCTGGGCCCCTCCTGTAAAATGAAAGAAGGCCAAGCCACTGTGCTGACCCAACTTGTGCCTTCCTGACTCTCAGCAGTGTAGCCCAGGATGTCACCCAGCTGGGAGAAGTAATACAGGAAGGATGCAAGGGAAGTGGCTAGTCTCAATCCTATATGGTTGTGGGGACCTTTACCAGGGAAATTGAAGGGAAAGTCCCTTTGAGGCTCATCAGGGCCTAAGCACACTCCTTTTAGGGACCTGGGGGCATGTGTGAGCAAAAAGAACTTCCTTATTGCGCTTAGCCCTTCTAAATGTGTTGTATCTTCATTATGCTGTCTTGTTTTTGTTTTCTAGCTTGTTTGCTTGCTTGTGTGTGTGTGTGTGTGTGTGTGTGTGTGTGTGTGTGTGTGTGTGTGTGTGTGTCTATATGTACTGATCCTGGGACTTGAACTCATGGCCGAAGCACTATATCTGATCTTTTTTGCTCAAGGCTAGTGTTTTACCACTTGAGCTACAACTTTACTTTTGGCTTTTTGGTGTCTAATTGGAGATAAGAGTCTCACAGACTTTCCTTCCCTGCCTGGCTTGGAACCTTGATCCTCAGATCTCAGCTTCCTGAGTGGCTAGGATTATAGGCGTGAGCCACCAGCGCCCAGCAACTTGCTTGTTTATGAGCCAGGGTCTCACTCTTGCCCAGGCTAGCCTTGAACTGGTAATCTTCCTGTCTCAGCTTCTCAAATACTGGGATTACAGGACTATGCCACCATGCCTGCTGCTCCCCCTTGTTTAGATGGCTCCCCAACATTGGCTTCCGCGTGTCCTTGCCTTCCTTTCTGTTTCCATTGGACTAGTTCATGCACTTGTCCTGGCTTTCCCTGTTGTTGATCCCTCCTTCCTCCACTCATGACCTGATTATGTCATCCTTTACTTGAAGATTCAATGGCTCCCCTTTTCCTTTGGAATATGTCCAAGTTCCTTCATCTAGAAATCAAGGTCCTTTACAATGCACTTCAAATGCGCTTGCTCTTCTTAAAAGCAAATCCATTTGCTTTCTGCTTTCTACATAAGTAACATGTATAAACCAGAAGCATAAATTTTAATGACATTCACTTTGACTCTCCAGAGATTACTGTCTGGATAATAAATCCTCACCTACATACAAGTTCTATGAAGTCTTACCTCTGAGAACTTGTCTTGAAGTTCTCTTGGCCTATGCTTTGTCTCTCTGCCTACTTCTTTGCACCCAGGTGCTGCATATATCCTGCATTCACAACTTAATCCCCATCTCTATGAAGCCTCAGAGAACAGTCTCTGCAAGCAGCACCTGATATTTGAGTTTGGGTCCAACTCTTCGCCCTAAATCCCATACACTAGACTCTCATAACTGAGGCCTTTTCTATCCTTTCCATCCTCACAATCCAGGGCTTCACTCAGAGTAGACAAGTGCTACTTGTGTCTTTCTTCCTATAACCCCCAGCACTCACACTGTCCTTTCCTACAGGAAAAGCGCATGTCCAAAGCAACAGAGGTGATGATGCAGTATGTGGAGAACTTGAAGAGAACTTACGAGAAGGACCACGCAGAGCTCATGGAGTTTAAGAAACTTGCAAATCAGAATTCAAGCCGCAGTTGTGGCCCCTCTGGTATGGAACTAGATCTTGTCCTCCATCTTGGTCTTGTAGTATGGGCCCCTAATTTTCAGCTAGGACTAGAGAGATCAGGACAACCCCAACTGATTTCTGGTTGGGCAAGAGTTCCTGCTCCTCTGCCCCTTGAACCTGGGGGGTCTGGAGCTAGAAAATTCCAGTGGCCTCAAAGTGACCCCTAACTCCTAACCCAGCTAACCAGAGCAGCTGACTTCAGCCTACTGACTGTAAGAAACTTAATGTATACAGTGTGATAGTGATCCTAGACACCCCCAATCTTTGTGCTTTGGGACCTCCTTTTAGGTAGCACATACTGGGGAACTGGGGCTTTATTCTGGAAAACATTAGGGATCCAAACAAGGATTTCCATCAAGGCAATTGCATGTAGTTTAAGGAAAATGCATGCAGTTTACATGGGCTCCCTCTAATCACAATGAGTCACATTACCAGGGCAAACTAGTGCCAGGAGTTATTGCCTTAGTCCAGCTCTGGGATAAAGTCTAGGCAGTGGGGTTTGAAGAAGGGCCTGGATAAAGAAGATATTGCTGAGATAAACAAAACAGCAGACTCATAGGTAAAACTAATGTTTTTGAAGAAATATTTTTAAGTTTCTATACAGATGGCTATAAGAGCACAGAGAAGAGCTCGCCTGATTCTGCCTGAGAGAGTAAAGGGAAACTGGCCAGAGTTTTAAAGTAAAATAGGAGTTCTGCAGTCAGGAAGAGGAGATTCATCCCAGGTGGAAGAATAGCATGGAGAAAGGTGTGGAGGTTGGGAAATAATAAAGCAAATGGTTTGGTGTGTTTACATCACTCGATTGTGATGGTGACGTGCTGGCGTGGGGACTCAGTGGGTTAGACTAATCATCAGGCAATGCTAACACACAGACCTTTGTCCCTCAGCACAGGGAGTCATCATTGGTTGAGCACATGTCACATGACATAACCAGATTTTATTTTTAGAAGATTAACTGACTTCAATATGCAGGACGGATTAGAGTAATGGTTGAAACAGGGAGAGACGAGCTGGGAGGCTCTTGCTCAGTCCACAAAGGAAATAACAGTACTTTGGACCAGAATCTCTCCTTGGGTGCTGCCAAACTTGGGCTCAGGCTGAGTGAGGTGGCAAGCTGGGGAAAGTTGACTTTGTCACATCAGAAATCCCTGTGGAATGCAAACATCCGTGTTCCCAAAACAGGAGAAGGGAAAGTATAACAGATGGAGAAACCTTTATAAACAGGAGGTTTCACAAGTTTCCTGGGGAATATCAGTAACACTTCCCAGAGTCTAAAGGCAGCACACACATGCTGTAGGCTGTCTGCTCTGGATCTCAGCAGTCAGACTTCTGAGCCACAGGCCTCTGGGCCTGTTTCAAACCTCTCAGGAACAGTACTGGACGTGAGAGAAGTTGCCGCAGAAGAGGGGAATCCTACTACATAGGTTCTTGCTTTATCACTCTGCAAGGTTCGTGGTCTCCACTTTCCAACCACTTTTATGGAATGAAGCCTGGCACGGGGGTGACTACCTATAATCCCAGCATTTTGTAGATGAAGACAAAGTTGTGAATTTGAAATCCAGCTGTTTAGCAAGAACCTATCTTTTTTTCAAAAAAAAAGATTTATGTGCTAAAGTAGCTACCCATGAGTCCCATTCATGCTCCAGATATTTATTAAGCACCTTTGGAATGTCCTCATGTAATACTGGAATGTGGAGATCCACTATCCAGATTCAAGACACACACTCACAGATCAAATGGAGATCCCAAGCTCTGGGAGCCAGAGCAGCCCGGGCTGTGACAGAAGGAAGCAGACTTCTAGGGGCACATGTCACAGGGTCCACACTCATGCTGGGGAGGGGAGGATGAGAATGGGAAAGGACAAGATGGCTGACTTGACTGGTGAGGGGTATTCTACCCTACTTCTGTTTTTCCAAACTGTACATGCATTGCACTGTGTCTAAGGGAGTGAGCCCATTCAGCAGGCATGTCAGTAAGTTATGCTCTGACCAAACAGCCTTTGCTTTTTTTTTTTTTTTTGGTCATGGGATTGATCTCTGGGGCTGGGCGCTGTCCCTCAGCTCTTTAGATCAAGGCTAGTGCTCTACCACTTGAGCCACAGCGCCACTTCCCAGTTTTTTGGTGGTTAATTGGAGGGAAGAGTCTCATGGACGTTCCTGCTGGCTTTGAACTGCAATCCTCAGATCTCAGCCTCCTGAGTGGCTAGGATTACAGGAGCGAGCCATCGGCGCCCGCCACCTTTGCTTTGTTAAGCCTTTATATGATTAGTGATCTATGGCTGAGACTTGAAGAGTACAGTGAAATGAACTATCCATGATTTCAAAAGTGATAGTACCCATTTTATTTTTTTCCTTAATATATATTTTTAATTGTAAAGATACTGTACAGAGGGGTTACAGTTCCCTGAGCAAGGTAGTGAGTCCATTTCCTATTGAGCATTGTTACCCCTCCTTTATTTTTTTAAATAAACCTTTTATAAATATACGACATACTGATTATCTGCAGTTCAGGTCCTTCCTTTAAGATTTCTCTTTATATTTCTAGAAATATAAAAACCTAGATCAGGAAAATATTTATTGTCAAATAACTCATTGGTAATTCCATTTAATTAATTTCTATTCCAAGGAAATAAGCACAATGTATTAATTCATTGTATCATTGAGCATCATTCTTGTTCTTTTTTTAAAAAAGAGCCATGACTTTTATAGTTTCCCAATATTAATTTTCTCATTTTAATTTGCATTTCCATGCTTTTCCAATTATTTACTAAACACACTTCTGATTTTATCAATACTCTAAAACCTTTGCCTACTTGTAAAAAAGAATATTTTATTAATTTGTTTGAATCCTTGGTTTATGAAGAATATTTTCTGATTCTGCTATTTTGGCTGACTGGAAAACTTGAAAATCCCTTGACCACAAATATTTAGAAATTTCTGCTGGACAAAATAAAACTAGCAGTATAAAAGAATAGCTGAATCCACAAGAAAAGAAATGAAATACATGGAAACAAGAAAAGAAGAGAGAAGTGAAACTAAGCTGACCCTGCAGCTTCCCTGGGGACAGGGTGGCCTCAGTTATATGGGGACTGGTCCCTGGCACTCTGTATGAGGAGGACTTGAACTTCTCAATTATACTTGTGGAAAGAGTCCACACTGAGAACCAAGCAGAAAGATAACTAGATCTTGAGATAGAATTTGCTTAAGGAAAAAACAGTCACCAGCCAGCAAAGAAACAAGCTGGTCTCTTTTACCATAAGCTCTAGTAGGAAAAAATACTTTCTCCTTCCTCATAGGAAAAGTACTTGTCCAGAGTGACAGCGGTGATGATGCAATGTGCAGAAGGAATCAGAAAGAACAGCAAGATGTGCCTCTGGAAAACCATCAGCCACTCTAGAGACATGCCACACCCAGGACACACAGATCCTTCTACATAAAGCTTTGATAAAGACAAGTTCACAGAATGAAATTATAGAATACCTTGGCGTGCACGCGCGCGCACGCACACACACACACACACACACACACACACACAATCTACCACAAACCAGACTCACCAAATGATAGGATTATGTTCTAAGAACCTCAGACAGTAACATAATCTGAATGTCTTTAAAAATTAATGACTGACAAAGGACTTCTGATTTTTGCACAGGAGGATAAAGGGGGACAGACCCTTTAAAAATTATGCATCCTAACATTCTCTAAAATCATCTTGTTTTGCAAAGCTTGACCTACAATTTATGTATACGATGTCCAAGTAACACATATTTAATTGATTCTGTTCCCAAAGATAGTTCAATGAGGTCTTCCAAGCTATGAGATTTTTTTTACTTGTTTTCCTGTCATACCATATTCAGTTATGTAGCTAAGATAACAGATGGAAGCTCATAACCTAAATTGTCAAATGTATACATAATAGACCATGTTACTTAATACAAAAAACCAAAAAGGAAAACAAATTTATTAGTTAATTAAAAGTTGAGTGTGAGCCAGGAATTGGTGGTTCATACCTGCAATCCTAACTACCTAGGAGGCTGAAATCTGAAGATCTCAGTTCAAAGCCAGCCCAGGCAAGGAAAGTCTGAGACTCTTATTTCCAATTAACCATTCAAAAATCAGAAGTGGTGCTGTGGCTCAAAGTAGTAGCATACTAGCCTTGAGCAAAAGAGCTCAAGGATAGTGCCCAGGCCCTGTGTTCAAGCCCCATGACTGACAAAAAAAAAGTTAAATATGGTAGAAAGCACCTGTAATCTCAAGTATTTAAGTGGTGGAAATTGGATGATTGTAGTCTGAGGCTAGCAAGACAAAATTAGCTCAAGATCCTATCAGAAAAACAAACTAAAAGCAAAAAGGCTGGGCATGTAGTTCAAGTGGTAAAGGGCTTGCTTACAAGCACAAAGCTCTAAGTTCAAACTCTCGTACAACAACAACAAAATTAATTATTGGAAGCATAAAAATATGGATAGAAATATGGAAATGAAAGAATATAGTTATTAAAATAATGGTAAATGTGGTAGCTACTGGAGATGAGGTAATTTCTCGATAGTCCAGATCTCCTTCTTCTATATACTTCTCCATCTCTTTAAAGTTATGCAAGGCTATGTGGCAGTCTTTGTGAGTGAAGAAATGTCACAACTGAGCTGAGGCCCTTAATAATCAGTATATAGTTGATGCTCTATTTCTTCTTCCTGAACCTACAGTCATCATTTCCCAGAATATTAGAAGGTCTATCTTGACTAGAAGATAGACTTGAGATGGTTACTGAAAATGCAGAAGAATATAGTGATTTTAAAAACAGAAGATACATTACAAGACATGGGATATAGAGTATAGAGTGAGAAAGTCTGAAGTCCATTCATGAGGTGGTCTATAGAGAGAAAAGTAAGGACTGGGAATATTCAAGGAATAGCTGAAGATTTTATAGAACTAAAGAAATAGCCACATACTGGGGTTCAGAAAACATAGTTAATTGCATGAAGAAAAATTATAAAAACAAAAAAATGGTAAGTGTAGAAGAGTAATGATAAAGTGAAGATCTTAAAAGTAACCAGAGAAAGAAGTTAATGTACAGACTGGCAAACACAACGAAAGTAATAATAGCATCAGAAAATACTGAAGCAATCTCTTCAAAGATATGAGAGCAACCTAGAGACTTGATAAACCTAGAAATGATACTTCTACAGAAACCATTACACAAGGCTGATGGCTAGGTAAAGACATTTTGAGACAACCAATAAGAAAATTTGCCTTTCCCAGGTTCTTGCTGAAAGAACAACTCAAGGATATACTTAGGGAAGAATGCAACTGAATTCAAAAGAGAATGTAGGATATAAGAACGAATGATTTTTTTTTGGGGGGGGGGTCCGGTCGTGGGGCCTGAACTCTGGGCCTGGGCGCTGTCCCTCAGCTCTTCAGCTCAAGGCTAGCACTCTACCACTTGAGCCACAGCACCACTTCTGGCTTTTTTTCTTTTTGCTTATGTGGTGCTGGGGAACTGAATCCAGGGCCTCATGCATGCAAGGCAAGCACTCTACCACCGAACCACCTTCCCAGCCCAGAACGAATAATTTTTGTCAAAGGCATTGATAGGCATGTGGGTAGATTTAAGCTATAGAAACTATCATAGTGAATAATTGTGGAGTACAACTAATAATGAATAACTATTATGAATAACTTAGAAATATAAAACAAGGTGAAATAAAAATAGTGAAAGAATATAATTAAAGTCAAAGGGAATTATTGTTGTTTTAAGGTCTACTCAAGAAAGTAATAGAAATCTTGATTCATTTAGAAATAAAATAGTATGTTCAAACATTAAAGGAATACATTAAAGATTAGAATTAAAATGGATAATTTCCAAACCAGTATTGGATAGGAGGATTAGAAAAACAGAATCAGTTTTTTTAAAAAAAAAGTCAGTATCATTGATCAGCAACAGAGTTCCCACTCTGTAGGTAATCTCTCAGAAAGTGATGTGTCTATAATACCCAGATCCTGGATCATCCCTTGAAGTTCAGTTCCGGTCCATGGATACCTTGTCTTGCTGGAGCCTATTCTAAAACTTACATGAGTTCTCTTCTCTGTTCCTTCCTGCTGTAGAAGATGGGGTCCCTCGAACGGCTCGGTCCATGTCCCTCACAATGGGAAAGGTATGCATGTTCAAGGAACACTGGGATTGGCTCCCAGATTATGACAGAAGTTTCAGTGATCATGCAAGCAATGCTTCACTCTTGGTGACATGGGTGCCTGAGACCCTCTACGAAGCTTCTATTACTAGACTAAGTAGCTTCTCACCTTTCTTGCTCATATGTAATTTCCCTGACTTCCCTTAAACAAATGTGATATGATGCTTGAGCTTTTGCTGTCGCTATAGGCCGTTTTTATACATTATCTACAGAGTCATTTGGACACTGTAAGGAGGGATCATTTCCATTCTGTTACACAAAGATCTCATTATCTAACATAGGAACAGTTGAGAGATTATTCATCACCAACAGAGTGAACACAACTCACTTTGGTTACTTTTTCCTACCAATTCCAAACACTATCACTACCCCAAAACCAAAATATCCACCAAACGTTAGGAACCAGAAGGCTTTTCCCAAGCCCTTTAGAACTATAATTACTGCTACCTTCAGGACAGCAGGCCCAGGTCACTTGTCTTCCCACAGAATATGCCCCGCCGGAGAGTCAGTGTTGCTGTGGTTCCCAAGTTTAATGCCTTGAACCTGCCTGGCCAGTCACCCAGCTCATCACCTATCCCCTCCTTACCAGTCCTGGTAAGTATGATGATTCTTGTCTCCTGGCCCTCAAGTTCATGATTATGGAGAGGACACCAACATGGGGGCAAGGCCACCAGAGGAGAGGAATTTCTAGCACAGAATTTGAGTGATGGACTAAAACAAAAACAAAAAACTCAATGTAGACCATATCACATGTATCCTACTGCTCTAAAATGATCCCAGTCTGCTGGGCACTGGTGGCTCATGCCTGTAATCCTAGCGACTGAGATCTGAGGATCATGGTCCAGAACCAGCCTGGGCAGGAATGTCCATGAAACTCTGATCTCCAATTAACCACCAGAAAACTGCAAGTGGTGCTGTGGCTCAAGTGGTAGAGCACTCACCTTGAGCTGAAGAGCTCAGGGACAGTGCCCAGGCCCAGAGTTCAAGCCCCACAACTGACCAAAAACAAAAAAGGTCCCAGTCCCTTGAGTAGGGCTTAGGTAGTACAGAATGTGTCCTTGTAAACAGTCACACTTTTTTTTTTGTCAGTCATGGGGCTTGAACTCTGGCCTGAGCACTGTCCCTCAGCTCTTCAGCTGAAGGCAAGCTCTCTACCACTTGAGTCATAGCACCACTTCCAGTTTTCTAGAGGTTTATTGGAGATAAGGGTCTCACGGACTTTCCTGCCCAGGCTGGCTTTGAACCGAGATCCTCAGATCTCAGCCTCCTGAGTAGCTAGGATTACAGGCATGAGCCACCAACGCCTGGCCTAACAGTCATACTTTTATGCTTCAATTCTTTTTCCACCTTACAGTGGCTCTGAGTAGCTGAAAGTTATAATGTCTGGTGACTGATAGGGTACAGCTTTGAACCTTAGGTTCTCCAATCCCAGAGCCTGAATTCTTAACCTGGTATTGTCCTCCCTCAATTCACTGTAACATTGTTAATAACAATGAAACACAGAAAACACCCAGTAATGTTACTACAGAGTTCCTATGGGATAGAACTACTGTCAATAATTTATTCTGAATAAGAAGCATTCATATGTGTGTATATACATGTATAATTCCATTTTGTACTTTCAAAGAGTGTAGCTATGTAAAGACATAGAAAATTCTAGATGAATATATGTAGAACTACTAAATAGTTATCTCTAGACAATGATATAGAAAAGGGAAATGTTTATCCTTTTTTGTCTTGAAATTTTATCATTGGTGTCTTTTTATATTTATTTCTTCTTACTTTTGTGGTCCTGGGATGTGAACTCAGGCCTGTGCTTGCTAGACAGGTGCTGTACCACTTGAATAATTCCCCAGTCCAGTCCCCCTTTTGATATTTTTATAGGAAGAATGTATAATAAGAGAAAAAATATCCATTTCAATTTCTTTAAACAAAGACAATTTTTTCTATGAGAAAAATGTGTCAGTGATGGGCTTTTGCAAGTGTCCCTCCCTTCCCCATCCTTGGGGGAACTTGGGACCTGTGTTTGGTACCAGGCTCACTGGTGTTCATTCACAATCAAGAAATGGAACAGAGAAAAACTCATGGCTGTTCGTCAGAATGAGAGCTCCAAGTGTAAACGCTGCTCTCCACTCAAGGACATATAGAAGAGGAGAAGGAAAAGAACAAAGGAGCAAGTTGCAGGTCCCACACTGAGAACAGGGGCACAGGGAAAGTCTGAGAGAAGGAGGCACACACATGGACTCAGAAAAAGGAGAAAAAGGGAAAAAGGAGAGAGGAGAAGGTGCAGAGAGAGGGGAGGGGAGGAGAGGGGCGGCATTGCCAGCGTTCTCAGAGCCTTGGCTTTTTTTGTTTCTCATCTTCACTTTCATCTCTTGTTTTTCTATCCAGTCAGAATCACCCAATGGTAAAGGAAATCTCCCTGTCACCCCAGCACTGCCTGCACTTTTGGAAAAGTAAGTTCATTGAGTTTCCTCTTAATGTTAGGAATCCCTAAGGAACCTTTCCCCAACTCATCTCTCTTCCCATCCTCAATTCCAAAATGCACTGCAAAGAAAAGGAAGTCTTAGGGTAATGCATGGGACTCTGAGCCCATGCATTCCAGCTCCACTTTGTAAAATTCTCAACCCAGGAAGATGCTATGGATGAAGCCAAGTGCACCAAGTCTAAGTAGGGTCCAGGAGAAACAGAGCTTCTCTGGTGGTTGGGATTCTTTTGGTTACAGAAACAAAAAAGCCCCCATTATTTTTCAACAGTGTTTAAATAATAAGTACAAGGGTAGGACCTCTCCAATGTGGACAGTAGGGCTCCGGCTCATTATCTGCAGTTCCCTGCCCTCTAGCCACTTTCTGTGTTGACTTCATCAACAGGTTTATGGCAAATGACTGATATTTCCAGAGATTCCAGACAAGACAATATCTAGAGGAAGATAGGCACCACTTCCTCCTCCTCCTTTTGTTTCTAGGCTTGAACCCAGAAGGCTTCACAGTCTTTCCTTTTAGTGTTTTGTCGAACTGGTAAGAATGCCCCTTCCTAAACCACCCACAGACTTTGGAATGAGCTCCTGGTTATGGGCTTAAACTGCTCATGAAGTCGTGAAGAGAGTCACCTTTCTCTGAAGCACAGAAAGTCCATGAAGAAGACTAAATTCCTGGGGGTGGGGAAAAATATGTGTTGTTAAACAGTAGAAAGGAAGATGAGTGTTAGGAGAGGAGTCGATAGGATCTGCTTCGCGTGACTTTTGCCTGACTTTTCTAGGCATCTATGCAATTGGAAGGTCTTTTCATCTTTAGCCAGAGCAAGACAGACTGTTTCTATGTACTGAGAGGAATTTATAACTTACTTTTCAAATTCTTTCATTTGCTTGTTGGAAAACATCTGGATCACAGCTGCTACCTCTCAGAACTTTCCCCTTGTGTCTTTCCTCACTTGGTGGACCAGATACCTTAGTCTTCTTTCTTGCCTTCAGACAACTTTAGTCCATTATTTTCCATTGCTATTAGAAACATTTTGTTTAACCCTACAGGAAATTTGTGTGCCCTATCAGTGCAGGTAAGCGCCAGGCTCCCAACTCCACACTCAGCCTGCATTCCTCACCTTTCCCCATGTTTCAGCCTCCCACTTCTCACTTAGTGACTCCCTGGGGTTAGTGGCAAGTTTGCCTGGTGTTTAACTCCTTTGCCACTTGACTCTTAAAAGCACACAGGTCCTTCATTATGTGATATGTCCTCCCCCTTCATCTCTCTTCTTGATCACAGGGAAATTGTCAAAAGGTGACATTTAACCATGTAGAAGAAACGAAGGCCATGGAATCTAACCAAATCCCTAGAGCCATGGAGCCTACTCCATGGGCTCAGAATCTTTCCAGAAATTGTCACATATGTACTGAAGAGCTCCCTAAATTTTTCCGTCTCATCCCTTCCATTTCAGAGGGTCCCCTGAAGCCAGTCACTGCAGATCTCAGGCCCACTGTGCCCAGCAGACTAATCATGCCGGGGCAGGGCCTGACTTGTAAAACTAATGTTCAGCAATTTGTGAGCTGCTGTCCAAGACAATGGATAAGAACATGATCTTAGTAGGAGAATCTAGGGTGCAAAGTTGGGAGCTTCAAGCAAAACCCCAAACCTATAATGTCAATGGATGAGAGTCACTGGTGACATTAACTTTCCATGGGTTTAGAATCAACAGAGGAAGGATCAGGGTGAGCATCAAAGCCAGTCACAGCAAAGGTTCCCAGGAGGGAGTATGAAGCTACTTCCTACACCTGACCAGAAATCAGCATCAGCTATGTATGCTGAAACTGACTCATCTGTTGGGAATAAAACCAAATAAGCTTGACTGCAAAAAGGGTAGGGAGGACTCCAAGGAGGAGACTAGGGACTCCTAATGTATCTCCCGCTGGATTTACAAAAGGTACTAAGCAATTTCCATCTAAGTCTTGAAACTAGAAATATTTAATAGATTCCCAAACAGTTAACAATAAGAAACAACATGAAAATGAATGAATATGTTCCGAGTTAATGGATTCCAGCCACCCTATTCATAGGATAGAAAATACGTTACAATCTTATTAAATTATATTACTAAACAATTACTATTGACATTGTGTTTTACACTGCTGCATTAAACTTCATGTTAAAAACAATTCTACATTTCCTAAGCATTCAGTAACTAAGCAGGGCAGGGACTGGCAATGACTGTGATAGAAGATCAAACAGCCTGTGGCTGGTTCACAAGCAAATACTGTGTAGCTCACTCACTGCCCAATGATTTATTGTAGAATTCTAAACCTTGCTCTCATAGGTCATTTTGTAAGAAATTGTTCTTCACAAAACAAGTCTCCAGTATAGGAACTGGAGACTTAACGAAGCATATAGATAGAGAGTGATATCCAAAGTTACCTTGAAGCTTAAAACAAAGCAAAACTCAAAGGCAGTTCTACATATGGGAAGAATGATATACTCTTTTAGTCTTCTAGTCTTTCAACAATTACTCATTAAGATCCAGGCACATAGGACACTCTGAAGGAGCTCTACTCTAATGGGAAAGGCAGGAAATAATCTTACTATTCTACAATGTCATAAATGTTACTGTAAGTACAGGTTGCTAAGGGAAACACACACAAGAAAATGAGTACCAAACCCAGAACAGGTGCAGGATGAGGAAAAAGATGGCTCAAGAAATGATTTCCCGGGCTGGGTAGATGGCTCAGTAGTAGAGCGCTTGCCTTGCATGCATGAGGCCCTGGGTTCGATTCCTCAGCACCACATAAGCAGAAAAAAA